GCCTGGGTTGCAGGCCATGACCCCCAGCAACCGCACATTGATGTTTCTCTCTCTCTCTCTCCCTCCCTTCCCTCTCTAAAAATAAATAAATAAAATCTTTTAAAAAAACTTATAATAAAAAATAAATAAAAAGAAGGGCAGATATTCAAACTGGAAGGTACATGTATTCATTCAATACTTTTTTTTTTTTTTTTTTTTGCGCACCTACCCTGTTCCAGGCTATACCTGGCCCTGGGAATACAAAGAGATGATGATATGTCAAAGGTCAGTCCTCTGGCAACTCTCAACTTTCATCAGGGAAAAACAGAGTCAGAGAAAGAGACAGAGAGGAAGATAGAGAGAGGCTTTTAAAGTTACAATACAATGAAGAAAACACTCGAAGTAGAAAGGAAGTATAAAACCAAGGCAGCAAATGATTGTGCCTGGGAGTGTCCAGGAAAGTTTCCAAAAGGTTGGACCCCCCCTGGCTCAGTTGTGTTTCAGCTCCAGGTCCAGAAAAGTAGCAAAACCAGATCAGAGCAGTGCAGCAATGCCATGCTTAACCTCAGGACTAGATGCAATGACTAATGACCCTGTACCCTACGCCTAGCACTGACCAATCTGTGGAAACCACAACCCTGAGGGGACACACCTGGAAAACTGATCGATATTCCATTGAGATCCTCCCTCGCCTACCCCTCTCCCTCTTCTCCCTTTCCTCTTTCCTGTTGAAGTGAGCTTCAACAGCTCACTTCTATCTCTGTAACTTTGTAAATAAACGTCTGCTTGTATCTGAGTCTTTCCTCTGAATTCTTTCTTAGCCAGAAATCAAGTGCTGGTAATATTCTGGTGCTATCTCACTACCAACTGTAAGGAAAATTATATGGTGGTGAGAAAAAGCAAGGCAGAGAAGGGATCACAGTTAAAATTATTTTCTTTTCAGGGTGATCACCCTTTAGAAGGAGGGGTCTGAAAAAAGGCATTTCAAAGAGGCATAACCTAGATGCACAAAAACAATGGACAAAGCTTACCTAAGGCAAAAAAAAAAAAAAAAGCCCCCTCCTTTTAAAAAGATTTTATTTATTTATTTTTAGACAGAGGGGGAGGAAGGGAGAAAGAGAGGGACAGAAGTATCAATGTGCGGTTGTCTCCCACACACCCCCCACAGGAACCCGACCAGAAACCCAGGCACAAGCCCCAACTGGGAATCGAACCAGCAACCCTCTGGTTCTCAGGGCAGCACTCATTCTGTTGAGCCACACTAGGCGGGGTATCCCTCTTTTTTTTTTTTAAATAAGCCTTTTAACTAAAGAAGTTATATGCCTCGGGCATGAGTACCTGCCTTAACCTACCCATCTAGGAATTTATGATCATATAACCAACCCTGTGAGATCACCTTCCACCAAACCCCTTCTGCATTCAATTTGAATGTTTACTGGGCACTGTGCTAAACACTTTACACTCATCTGCTGCTGTGATCCACATAGTACAGATTTAAAAAACCAAGGCACAGAGAAATCAGAAGAAAGTGCCCAAGACTGCACAAGGAGCAAGTGAACAGAGACTGGAACTCAGGCCTCAAGCTGACACTCTTAAATCTTGTGTTCCTCTGACCACAGTGTGTGCAAAATGCCTAGCACAATGCATGGCATGAAGCTCAGGCTCAATAAAAAGTAGCAACTTACTGTTATGATGATCCAATTTACACACCCAGAGGAAAAACTGAGACAGCATGGAAGAAAAGTGGTGGGAGAGGCAGAGCCAGGGAGACCAGTTTAAAGGCTAACTGCAAAGGTCAAAGCAAGGACTGGGGAGGAACTGAGCTAGGGCAGCGGAGACAAAAGGAGCAAAACATGCAGTTTCCCAAGAAAACAGGAATTGTCCTATAAACTGGGGTCAGTTATAACTTGATAACATTTACTTCTATAGGGCATTAACACAATTTGCATTCATAATAGTACTCTTACGTCATCAAAAAAGCTTTCTTTTCAAAATGTGACTAAATCATGGAAATCAATATGTTTTAAACTTTCTTACTTCAGTCAATTGACAATAAAAGTTGAAATAGCAAGTTATACTAACTCATGTGGGACATACAAAATTCAATGGGAAACATTTTAAATATCTATGAGAGTTACATACCTATAATGGTCCTAAGTATATTAAAGAATTCAAGATTCCCACTAAGTTTAAAGGTCTTTAAAAAGATGGATCAAAAAAGTAACTGCATATTTTGGGAACCATTAAGTTCAAAGGTCTTTGGGATAGAAGGGAAATATATGTATTTCTATGAATAAACTGAAAATTTAGGTAATGGGTATAATTTGAATTAAGGTTGTAGGCTAGAAGACTCTCTCCTTTGAGATACATAGTCATTAATCTAGAATTTAGTGTGTGCCATCAAGAGTCACCAAAACAATTCTCATTAGCCTCCTTAGCAAAAATCCCTGGGTCATAAAGAAGTTCAGCCAACTGACATGGTAATTATATTCTTTGGCGGATAAACATCTTTCAACTCTGCAAAGATTTAGAAGTATAAAAACACTTAAAATCAAAACCATAGTTGGGAAAGTCTCACTGAGAAAATGGCATTTTAAGTAAAGTCCAAGAACAGTGAGAGTCACATAGGTATCTGGGGGAAAAGTCTTCCACGCAGATGGAACAGCACCTGCAGAAGCTCTGAGGTGCAGCAGGCAAGAAGGGCTGGGGAGAACAATGAGAATGGAGTCATAAAAAGGAATGCCAGCCCTGCCTGGTGTAGCTCAGGGGATGGGGTGGAGTTCTGCAAACCAAAAGGTTCCCAGGTTCCTTTGCCAGTCAGGGCATATACCTGGGTTTTGAGCCAGGCTCCCAATGGATGTTTCTCTCCCTCTTCCCCTCCCTCTAAAAATAAATATTTTTTTAAAAGAAAAGAAAAAGAAGGGCAGATTGTGAAGCAGGTAGAACATCTTGAGGCCAGTTCCTGGAGGCCCTGATAGCCTACGTGGGGAGCTTTGACTTTTAAACTGAGTAAAATGAAGAACCACTGACCAATTTTGAGCAAAAAAGTGACAAAAACTTCCCTCACAGGGAGTCAAACTTACATCGAATCTTTTATTATACACATATAAGTGTGTCACTGAAAGGGTTAAGCCTATTAGTGAAAAATTCTGTATGTAGAAAATACAATTTAAATTATATAAAATGAATTGTGTTACCTTATAAAGTTTTTTTTTTCCTCTGGGCCCAAATCATTATCAACAGAAAGGCTGGTGATTTCAAGTTCTGGAGATAAGACCTGACAGGGTGCCGTTTGCTGGCACCTGAAATTTACATGCCCCAGCAGGAGCCCAGGGACTCAGGATGCCTCCTACTGACAGAGCCTAACCCATCTGTGCCCATTGGGCCAAGGGTGGCAAGTTGGATTTCCACTTCCCCTTTACCCCTTGTGAGGCCAGGTAAATTTCCAGGAATAAAGATATTGGGGGGGGGGGGAGATATTCGAGATCCCTGGTTATCAGCGAAGGGCTCTTGTTCCTGGGGTCCCACAAAACCACCCATAACTGAGGCTCGGAGATTATACCAGAGAGAAAATTTGGCACTTGATTCTTCAGCTGAGAATTTCGATTGAACTTTTTTTCTGATAAGGATCAGTCAAGGTTTTTAGACCTGGAGAGCAATGTGCCTGATTTGCTTTCTGGAAGACTCTGGAGGTGAATTTAGGAGGAAATGGAGAGCAAGAACAGGAGGCAAGGGCGCTGGGAGGCTGCCATCGTGTACCTCCTGGCTTAAAGGTTTAACTCATTTCTTCATCTGGAAAGTGGAATAACCATCCGCCTGGCTGCATGGTTGTTTTATGTGAAAGTGAAATGATTCAGTAAGTGAAAAGACTTAATTTGCTAAATAAAGTTCAGCAACTATAAACGTTTATTAAAAATAGCACAATCCAGCCCTTGCAAACACAACCTAACATATAACATTGCAACTATTACAATGCTGCATGTCAATTATTATCTCATTTTTAAAAACACTTTTTGAAAGATGTGGAGTCTGACTACTGGCACAATCAACGATATATCAGCGCATTTTAAGGGGAAGGAGCTAAACCGCTCACTTACAAAAGTGGCTGTCTACATCAGTAGGACGTGCACACGTGTGGTAATTACAAAATAACCATAGATCAGTATCTATTAGGTGTCTGTTCTAAGCCTGGATCTATTGCATGATATAAAAGCCAAAGGATGTAGGAGTTACGGAAAAACTGGGACTACTGCCCAGCATGCCACCTTCCCGCGCTGGCAAGTGCCCGGAGCCGCGGGGAAGCAGCAGCCCCGGCCCCGCGCCGTCCCATTTGCTCGGCAGTCAGTCACTCGCGCAGCAGCGCAAGCCCGGCCGGCTGCCGACCCTCCGGGAGTCCGCGGCGCCCGACGGCTCCAGACACGCCCGGCACCGTCCCCGCGCCGCCTTTCTGCTGCCGCCAGGAGGCTCCGCGCGCCTTCCCGCCTTTCCCCGCGCCGCCGCCGGGCCGGGAAGCGAAGCTGGCGCGGCGCTCCACGGGGGCGACTAGGCGGGCAGGCGGGCGCAGGCGGCGACGGCGCGGCCATTGTCCCGCAACCCCTCCCGGGCGCGCCTGCTGGGCTGGCCGGGTGGGGCGGCGCGGTCAGGCGGGCGCGAAGTCTCGGAATCCGTGCGCCCCGGCGCCGCCTGCCTCTTCCCGCAGGCCACCGCCCCGAGGCCGCGTCCCTGGCCGCCGGCTGTCCGTGCCGCCTTTGTGACCATCTCCAGCCCCGCGGAGCCAGCAGGCTGCCGCCGCTGAGCCCGGGGCTGCAAATGGCGTCCGCTCGCCTCAGCGCCTCCCGCCGCTCGCCCGGCCGGGGACGCGTGGGGCACCGCGCCCCGGGCCGCATCCCACCGCCGCCCGGGTAGTCAGAGCCCACGGCGCCGCCGCCCGCGCCTCCGCCCGTGGCCAGGCTCGCGAGCCGGTCCAGCCGGTCCCGGCAGCCCCGACGCCCCGCCCGCCCTCGCCGCCCGCAGCCTCTTACCGCGGGCCGCCGCGCACCGGCGGGTCGCGCGCGCAAGCTTGCGGGGAGATTCCTGGTCCTCCGCGGGGGAAATACCCCTGTTCCAAGCCGGTCCTTTGCGCCCTAAAACAAGTAGCCCAACGTGAGAGAAACAAAAGGTATTTGCTGACGTGGGCGTTGGACAGAAACGCCCGAGGGCTGAGGACACAATTAAAGGGGCAACGCACAGATTTCAGGCACCAACCAGCAGCTTCGCCCACTCCCCCAGCCCTTGCCTACACCCTGCTGCACCCTTCAGAGACACGGGGGCGCCCGGATTCTGTAGCAGTTGGCTACGGAATCATTTTTTAGTCAGCTGAAATTTAAAATTGTACTTTACGTTGGGAAAAGCGCCTCCGGAGGGCAGAAGGGCTGGATTTCTAGGAAATGGGGAATTTGGTTTAGGAAAGAGGGAGGGACTTAGGCGTGTCTCACAGTTACTGTATAAGTACATGTGACAGTATTGTACTTAAGTTTAGCAACGTCAAATGTAAGAGATTTCCACAGAATTTTTCCCTTTTTCGAAGCACTTATTTTAGTCGGAGGGAACCTTTTCTAAATCTCTACAGGTCACAAGCATTTTATTAAGAGGAAAACCCGGAGAGGCTGAGATAAGAAAATAAGTCTTGGTTAAGTTCAGACAAAATAGAAAACCAGTGAAAATAGTAGGTTTTGTGTTCTCAAATACAAAAATGTTATTGTACATCAAGCCTCTCTTCTGACATATGTATGTCCCTAATATTTAGAGTACGAACAGGTTATATATATTTGCTAAAATCTTAAATCACTGAATTTTCACTGCTACTAAAGAAACATTAATTCTATAAACTAAACTAGTTTTCTAGTTCCTTATGCTGGGGGGGGGTCAGGTACTGAAAAGTACTCTGATGTAGTAAAAGTGAAAAAAGACTAAGTTTTTTTTAGTTTGTTTTTCTATTTATAGATTCTTGTCTTGTGTCATAGTCCTATTGGACAAAGTTTATTCCTGCGGTTTCATTAACAGTTATGTATTTTGAGGATCATACTGCTCTATGAGAAGGACACAAAGTATTCACAGCTATCTCTTAATGTCACCTCTGTATTACTGTAAGGGTGTTTTGCTATGTAGTCACATTTCCTCACATTCAGAAAGGTAAATGGAAGAAAGGAGGGAAAGGAGGAAGGGAGGGAGAAAGAAGGAAAGGAAGAAAAAACAACAAAGGAAACAAAGAAAACGAGAAAGGTAAAAGGAAACATGTTTGAAAATCATTAGGTATTGGGATCAGGAGTGTTGGATGTCCAAAGCCTCACTGAAAATTCTGATGGAAAGACCTGTCCATTGTTATAACAAAAGATTTTATTTTACACTTTGTTCATTAAAACATGCAAAAGAGTTCTACACACTTGTTCCTCAAGAGAACACATTAAGTCAGTGATGAACTCTTTGTTGAACGGAGGAAGTAATGGAAGTTCTTTTTCTCACCTTCCCAGTCCTAGCTTCTGAAACTCCTTTACATATTTGGAGAATTTCTTACATTATAATTAATTGGTACGAGGTAGAATCTGCCTTCTGCAAAGGACCTGGAAATGCCAGTGACTTGGTTTCCCAGAATCTCTTGCAGTTAGGACCATGGTCAAGGTCTACATTTGATCATCAGATGCACCCACCAGGAACTTTGAAGAGGAAGCTATGGGACCAAAAAGCAGAAACCTCAAAGAATCTTTTCTGGCAGTGGTGACAGTTGCAGCAAGATAATATCTCCAAGTGCCATATAGGCAGTGCTGCTGCTAGTGACAGCATTCGCTGTCCAGTGCTAGTGCCATCGATGGTGCCAGCTGTCATGCCTCTGTTTACTGAGAGCAGTGTTGGTATCCTCACCAGGCCAGTTCTGTGGCATGACTTGGCTGTCATTCCTGCCTGTTTAGCGTAGGCTTTAACCCCTGTGTTCTGCTCTTCCCGTGATTCTACGAACTTTTAATACGTTCATTTATGCTTAAATTAGCCAAGGCCAGTCTCTGTTCACCTAAGAACTGTGAATGGTACCAAATGTTAAGAAGGCACCTGAACTTGTGACCTGGAGCTTAATAGATAAAATTGTTTGAGCTAAAATGATGGTATCAATGTCATATAGATGGGAATTAAAAGCATGGTAATGGATATAACATAAAGTGAGAAGGCTTAGAACCAAGCTCGAGCAACTTCATCATCTAGTGGCTGGGGAGAGGAAGGTGAAATTGGAAATAAGACTGAGAAGTAACTAGAGATGAAGGAAGAGACCTGGGATAGTGTGGTGTTACAGAGACTAGAAGAAAGTATTCAAAATGGAAGAATTGGACAATAGTGTTAAATATTTCTCTTAGCAGTCTTGGGGGAAAATGTCTATCAGATTTAGCAACTTGGAGATCATTAACTTCAGAGACCCATTATTAAGCTTGAAAGAAGGGAGCAAGATTCAGATTAGGAGAGTAAGTTGGGGGTGAAGAAATAGAGGTGAAAATAGACAACTCTTTTTAAGAGATTTTGTTGTAAAGGGGATGTTTAAATTACTATTGCTATGTAGCAAACCAACCCAATCTTAATGGCATAAAACAAGAACTATGTTATTATGCTTACGGATTCCAAAGGTGAAGGATTTGACAGATCACAGCAGGGATGACTTCTCTCTGTTTCACAATGTCTGGAGTCTCAGCTGGGGAGCTCCAGTGGCTGGCAGGTAACTCGAACTGCTAGGAATAGGAATCACCTGGAGGCTTCTTCACTCACATATCTGGTACCAAGGGTACCATCACTTGAAAAACGGGCTTAGCGCCCTCACCAGATAGCTCAGTTGGGTGGAGCATCATCACCATACACCAGGGTTGCAGGTGCCATCCACATCTGAGCACAGACAGGAGGCAATGGGACTATGTTTCTCCCTCTCTCACTGATGCATTTAGAAAAAATAAATTTTAAAAAATGGGCTCAGCTGTGACTTTCACCTGGAATGCCTACATGTGTCCTCTCCATGTGGCTTGGGCTTCTTGCAGCATGGTGGCCGGGTTCTGAGAGGGGGTGTCCCCAAGAAGCGGTATATCAAGAGAACTGGGAAGGAGCTGCATGATCTTTTATACCCACCTACAAGAGGTTGTATTGCCTCACTTGCCATATTCCGTTGGGTAATCACAAGCCTACTACGATTCAAGCAGATGGACACATAGCTGCTATCTCTAGTGGGAAGAATGTCAGAGAATTTTGAGTCATGTTCAAAAACTACTACAGGCAAAGAGGGTATTACCTAGAAAAGGATATATATGGGTAAAGACTTAAAAATGTTTAAATGCTGAGGGAAAGCATAAAGGTGAGAAGGAGATATTGACTATACAGGAGGAATAATTAATAGTAGCTGACTTTTTTTAAAAAATCCTTACCTGAGGGCATTTTTATTAGTTTTTAGAGAGAGAGGAAGGGAGAAAGAGAAACATCAATCAGTTTTCTCCCATACTTGCCCTGACCATGGATTGAACTCATAACCTAGGTATATGTGCCCTGACCAGGAATTGAACCCACAACCTTTTGTTGTATGGGATGATGTTCCAACCAACTGAGCCACCCTGACAGGGTGGCTTACATTTCTGGAAATTCAGAGAGGAGATCAAAATCTCAAATAGAAGAACAGTCTTTGAATAGCAAAAGTGATAACTTCATTGTCCCCACTGAAACTGGAGGGCAGAGAGAACACCACAGATAGTTGCAGGGGGTTTAAAATGCCTACAGATTCTTTGACCCTGTGCCCTCCAAGAGGTTAATCCTAATGAATGTGAGTTGGACCTAGCGTGACTTACTTTTAAAGAACAGAATAGCCCTAGCTGGTGTGGCTCAGTGGATTGAGCAACGGCCTTCGAGCTGGAGGGTTGCCAGTTTGGTTCCCACTCAGGGCACATGCCTGGGTTGCGGCCCGGGTCCCCAGTAGGGGGCACATGTGAGGCAACCACAAATTGATGTTTCTCTCCCTCTCCTTCTCTCTCCCTTCTCCTGTCTCTAAAAATAAATAAATAAAACCTTAAAAAAAAATAAAGAACAGAATAAAGCAGAAATGAATAGTGTGATTTCAGCGTCTTTGTGATAAAGGTAAAGCAGCTTTCTGCTTGTTCTTTCTCTGTCTTGGATCAGTTGTTCTGGGAGATACTCTGTGGAAATGAGCTAAGGCTATCTGCCAACAGCCATGTGAGTGAGCAAGTGAGCCACCTTGGAAAGTATGTTCCAGTCCCAGGCAAGCCTTCAGCTGACATGTCTGAAACCTCATGAGAAACCCCAAGCCAGAACCAACCAGCTAAGATGCCCCCAAATTCCTGACCCTCAGAAATCTTGTGAAGTAATGAATGTTTTTTATTTTAAGCCATTATGTCGTGGGTGTCATTTGTTATGCAGAAATAGATTGTGATACCTGAAAGTGCTACCATAACAAAAGCCTAAACATGTGACTTTGGAACCAGACAGTGGGTAGAAGCTGGAAGGGCTTTGAGGTGAGCATTGGGGAAAACCTGAGCCTTGCAAAACATAGACTCCTGATGGCCTTTCAGGAAGTTTCCAGTGAGGGCTTAAAGGAGAATCATAAAAATCTGATTGGACACTGGAGGAAAGGGGGCCCTTATGTATTGGCAGAAACTTAGCAACACTGTTGCCTGCAGTAAGGTGAAAAGTAGAAAACGTACCTGATGAATTGGGTGACCTAGCGAAGATCTCCGAGTGTGGAAAGGGCCACCTGTAGTAAAAAGAAAGGAGAGAGATAAGCTAAAGGAAGGACTAGTAAACAAAAGGAAGCCAGAACTGGATGGTTTTGAAAATAGCCTTGCCCCAGCCAGGTAGCTCAGTTGGTTAGAGCACTGTCTCCATACAGCAAAGTTTTGGGTTGATCTCCAGTCAGGACACGTACGAGGAGCAACCAATGGATGCATGCATGAGTGGAAGAATAAATCGATGTTGCTTGCTCTGTCTCTCTCTCAAATCAACAAATTAAAAATGTTTAAATATCCTGGCCAGGTTGCTCAATTAGTTGGAGCATCGACCCATGCACCAAAAGGTGGTGGGTTCAAATCCTGTTCAGGGCACATACCTAGGTTGCATGTTCAATTCCCGGTCAAGGCGCATACAAGAGGCAAC